GCATTCCATTAACAAGTTTGTTTTTGACCTTAATTTAGCTAATGACAATTTAAAACAATGATTTTATGCATCATGATCTCCTTTAACTTCTTCTTTCTGTGTTCTTACACATATTAGAAAAGGTCAAATATTTTTAACCTTTTCATGTCTTTCCAGAAAGAAGCCATGTCTAATTACTGTCACATATGCCCTCCTATCTCCACTCCCAATTTAGATAAAATGAACCCTCTCTGAAAGAGGACAGAGATAGTTAGGGTTGGGCAGGAGAAGATGGTCCTTGTACACACCAGCATCAAGGTCTCACAGAAATCCACATGGAGCAAGTTCATGGTAATGGGGCTTCTGGACTGTGCTGGGAATGAGGGGGTCTCAGTGCCACAGCTCCTACAGCCAGGTATCTGCACACGTTAACTATAGTGCAACTTCTTACAATTTTGCATATACGGATATGCATTAGATAACTATTACTAGTAATAATTACTGGTAGTTATTACTAGTGCATAAGACCAAAACCAGTCTTGTTCAATTTTGATCATTGTAACCTTTCTATGTACCTGTACTTGGTGGAACACAGCTGTCTGGCTGATCTTCAGTCATTGTCACTAGTTCTTCTGTCAGTGCATGGCTGAGAATGCATAACTCATCTCAGGGCCCCAGCCTCACCACCTCAGTTATCAGCCTCATACTGAGTGCCCACCTTTCTTCTCCATTTTCCATCTCATCTCCTTCATACAGACTTGCACAGGCAAGGCTATATGTAGTGTTTTGTAGTGTAACACTGTAAAACCAGAGTCCACACTTCATTGGAAATCCCATTTCTTTGCTTTTATTTATCCTTCAAAAAGTTGTCTAAACTCACTTTTTCTAACTCCTCATTTTCATTTTATAATTAGCCCACTCAGGCCTTCAAATACTTCAAAGATTTCTTTAACTCTTCATAGAAGATTTTCATCATTTTCGTCTCATCTCAGGTATCACTTCCTTTGAGAGGCACTCTCGTTCTGCCACTGTTAAATTGACCTCTCCCATTATACTGCCATGGCTGCTGTCTTCATATCTCATGGCATCTATCACTGTTTATTATTATACTCCTTATATAATGTATTTGTTTATTATAGTGTTTATCATCTTCAGAGCACATTACTGTTTGATATGCAATTTTTCTGTTTGTTTACTGCATTTTCCCCAAATATGTGAAATTCATTAGTACAGTGATCTTAAATTCTACCTGCACATAGTTGTCACTAAATACCTAGTTTATCAAATAAAGACCCACTTCTGCCTAAAGTCTGAGCTTCTATGACCTGCTCTGAGTATTTTTATAATAAAAAAAAAAAACTTGATGCCAGCTAGGTTGAGATAATAAGTACATTCCTTTGTCCATAGTATTTTGTACTGTTGTCCCTTAATATGAGGCAAGGGAATGACAGCAAATGGTCTCTGCTTCTATGGTTCATTTCTATCCATTCCATCCAGCTCAGCAGACTTCTCCAGAATTCCCTAGATTTTAAGTGATAAACCATGTTTAAGTCATTCTAGATTAACCCATTCCCTTCTAGGCTTGATACACTGTTACTAAATTCACTGAATAAAGTAACTTTGTCTGAAAGGCAGATTTTCCACACCTCTGGAGAAAAATGTTAAAAAATTCACAGGATCTCATTCGATGTGCCCATGCATCTATCATTTAACCTCATAACATCTTGCTGGAAATTTTATTCACATTATTAGGATACTGAAAGTATGTTTCTTCTTAAAGAAAGTGCAAAAGCCAGATTTAGATCAGCCCATCCCTGAATTACAGGGGGATACAAGTGCATACATTCACCTTAATGTGAATGCTGACAAGCATCTGGATCCAAAAGGGCTGCAGACTTCGCTGGTATTAACAAAGATAGACCAGGTTTTAAAAGTTACTTGATTCTAAGGAATGCTTTGTAGACAGGAAATACTAAGTGAAATAGAATTTCAAAATTAAGATGAAGAGGATCCTAATAACTTCAAGTAGACAGGAGGTTAAATCAACCTTGAACACTGAAACACTTGAATAGAAAGGATTTTGAGGATGTTGAATTAAATATTTCACTGGAAGACAGAGAGGACAAAGCCAGAGAAACGTCTCAGCACAGGGATATTTTCTCTCAGGGAATCATGACCATCTCTCTTTCAGGAAATCTACTTAGCTGTTCTGAGAAAGTAAGAATTTCTGCAAGTATCCATTTCTTTAATAGATTCTTTTAGAAGGACAATAAGCACTTAGGGGAACAATTTCCATCTTATTACAGAATTCTCATAATGCCAAGGGAGTCACAATATTTCACAATCTGTTTAATACTTGAAAATGGATCAACATTTAACATTTTAGGCAAAGGTTGTAATGTTTCAAATTTAGGATGGTTTGTTTAATCCTAGAGTTGTATGTTGTCATTCTTTCTCTTGCTAATACTGCCACTGCACAGGGACAACTGTTCAGAGCTTTTGTGCTCTTGAAAAACACTCAGATCTGTGAGATTTAAAAAAAAACAAAAAAAAACAAACTCTTAAAAGAACACTCTAACCTTGTCTTTTTGCAGCTTGGATGCTCCCAAGTATTTTGTGGTGAAGAAGGCATATAAAGGAATAATGTTAAACTTATCTTTATTTAAGTAAACATCATTGAATTTCTTGAGGTGTTAAATATAGCTTTAATTATATTTTTTATGTTTCTTCAAAACCTTTTCTGTCCAACTTTTGTTATCCCATTTGCTTTTCAGAATTGTTAGAGACATTTGATGTATTTAACGAATATCTGTTTTTTTACCAAAAATAAAATTCCATCTTACTGCTGAAATATCATTTTCTTGGTAATTCATGTTTGTTTTATTTTAGGGACCTTCTAAGTTCTTATTTTTTTCCTAAAAGTCACACTAATCTCAACTTCATGTCTAACTAGAATTTGTAGATACATAATATTATTTAAAAAGTTTGCTTCAATATGAGATTAGAGGCAATGCATGACCAGAATAGTCACAGCATCTGACTTGTGACTTCGCAGAGACCAGCCAGCGGGGCGTGTCCAGGCCCCTGCGCTCCCCTGCTCTCCCCCTGCTCCCACGGTCTTCCTTTTCTTAGGTTCTTTCTTGTTCTTTTTGTTCTTTACTTCCATTGTGGCAGGCCAAGGAGTTCCTTTTGTCCTCATCTTATAAACATTTTCTACTTTGTCATCATAACCATTGTCATACCTATAAAATCCTCACCGAAATCCTTAGGCAAAGCACGTTTCCTCAGCGTGTTGTGACCTGCCGTAACACTCACGTTAGATGGTATGTAGCAGTTAATAGGTTACACATCACCCCTCCAAACTGGAATCTAATTAGGATTAAAGGTTGTTGGCTAGTTTCAAGGAAATATTAAATGTTAACTTAAGTAGTAATGATGACATAGTTTATTATATTATGAAAGAATTTGCTCTTGATTAGGTAATATTAGTAACACTTTTAAACCATTTAAATTTATGATCTAGTATACACAACAGTTTATTGTATGAAGTATAATAAAATTCAATCATAAAAAAATTGGAAAATTTTAATATTACATTAGTGCAATTTGAAGTTATAGCTCTAAATTTAAAACAAAAATGGGAAAAAGTCAACTAGAACTTAGGCCTTTTTGCATTTATCAATATATAGTTTAATATTTTATTTAGCATAGGATTTTGTCAACAAACACCATAACTGAATATTCTTCGACTATGTATTTTATGTTTGATATACTTTATATTACTAGACAGGTCATTTTAATTCTTTACTAATGTTTTTATTTTGGTATAATTTATTCAGTATTATCTCTGTTGTATTATTTAATGAAGGTACACAAGAAATCTTAGAAGAACCTATAGAGAAAAAAACTGAATAATTATTCTCATATAGAAAATCATATTTCATAAAAATTAAGTTCCTGTCCTTCAGGTAATAATTGGTATTCTGAAAACTCTATACCCAGTACATATTCTTTGACTTTTCTTATGCATATTTCCAAGTCATAACAGACAGTAAGTAATGTATTTACTTTTCGAAAGAATGAATTTAAAACCTAGTTTATATATTACCAAGGCATATCATCTCCCCTTTTGTAAAACTAACTTCTGCTTATGTCTTTATATTATAGGATGGTATGCTGTACTGTTGTGTTCTTTCCAGAGATCAATTTTAACCTGATAACTTATTGAAATACAAATAAAATAAATAACCAACAAAGTTCCAAATAAAAGTTTTAGTTAAATAGCTGAATCTATATAATTCTAAATAAAAATGTGTTTTTTGCATAGGTTTTTACAAATACATTGACATTTTATTAAAGCATATGCACTGAGATACTTATATGTTACATTTTTAGATAAAGACCCAGAAATGCTGTGACACATTTGCTCTCTGTCTACCCCAGCACAGGTAAAGCTTATTCTATGAGCATCTTGGATATGCGTAGTTACTGGAGTATAGACAACCAGAGACAGAGTTGAATCTTCAGAGACTCCTGGGAAAAAGGGCTACATTAGGATTGGACAAACCTGACTAAAAATACTACACATCTTGTAGATAAAACAGTTAATGAAACAGCTGTAAAAAGCAACATAGATGATAATGATTTGATGGTTTTTTTAATATTTCAATTAATTTTATTGAATGACTTAATTTTAATTACACAGCTGTAATTATCTGAACACTCGCTACCCATTATTCTTAGGTATGTTGTGGCTTTTGACTTTTAAAACAAATTATCGGTTTTATTTTTGAATGCTTCTTTTCTTTCTTTTTTTTTTCTCTTCTCCTTTTTTCAGATGACACGAGAACAATTAATTTTATTGAATGACTTAATTTTAATTACACAGCTGTAATTATCTGAACACTCGCTACCCATTATTCTTAGGTATGTTGTGGCTTTTGACTTTTAAAACAAATTATCGGTTTTATTTTTGAATGCTTCTTTTCTTTCTTTTTTTTTTTCTCTTCTCCTTTTTTCAGATGACACGAGAACAATACATACTGGCAACACAACAGAATAACCTACCGAGGGCTGAGAATGCACAGCTTTACCCAGTGGGCATCTATGGATGGCGAAAGAGGTGCTTATACTTCTTTGTCCTTCTGCTGTTGGTCACCATGATAGTTAACTTAGCCATGACAATATGGATACTGAAAGTCATGAATTTCACAGTGGTAAGTACCACCATGATTTCACATCTAATTACTTTTGCTCTAAAAATGATGCAACTCTGTTATTTTAATATTTTTAATTGAAAGTTACTCATCTTAATTTTTACAAGTATGTGTCTTGACATTCCAAAGACTGCCATATAGTATTTTAAGATTGCATCCAGTATATATTCAGGACACACATATTATCTTCCTGTCATTAAGTCTGAGACATTTAGATCATGAGACAGTCCAGAATACTGACTCATTAGAACGTTAAGAAAACTTTAACCAATAAGCATAAACAATTGCTTGCTAAATCTGGGAATCTAAGAAATGAGTCTGCTTTTAGAGATGATATTTCACATTAAATTAATATTAGAAATCACAAGTATGTTTGCAATACTTTGTATGGAATATTTACTTCTCTATATCTGTTTTCTATGAAACATACTGCATGATCAAATCTAAACACTGAAATTTTCTCTGGGCTGCATGAGCCAATGTCTACAATTGTTATCAGACACAATCTCATTCTTCTGTAGCACAGATATGGTAAATAGAAGATAAACTAGAAATGAAATCACTCTGCTATGAAAATTATTAACAACATTATTGTATACTTAATTGATGAATTTTGCTTCAGTTTACTGAATGTGTTTAGTAAACCCATGAGCATGACTTATTTGGGAAAAACTAGCTGCTTTAGCAAAGTCTGGTTTAATTTTTTTCTGGCTAAATTCTTAAATTTCTTTACTCTGCCTCTAAAACCATTCTGCCTCTGCTTAGAGACCTCAGCTATCTTCACATGAAGCAGTTGTCTTTCACTTGCTGACCAGACTGCTGTTTTTCTTTAGACTCGTGCATCCGCAGGGGCACGTATAAAGCTGGCTGTTTGACTTCAGTGATCTTTCTATATTGGGCTTCTTTTTTCCCTTTTTAACTCTGCTGGGTATTGATTCAGCAAGAGTAGTTTCTGACTTCACTAGCTTCTAATTCTAACTCAACCACAGAATCTCAAAGGGAAAATGAGCCTAGCATTTGTCCATAATGTATGGCACCGCAGTTGTGTGCAGAAGGAGCCTGCGAAGGCTGGTGGCCTAACCTTCCATAGAGGAAAACTAGCACTGTGCAAATCATGATAGAACAGCATATGCTCATGGTGAAAAACGAGCTGAACAACGGTTCACTTTTTTTTTTTTTTACAACGGTTCCACTTTTTACAATACAGTGCACATTTTGAAGGGTATTCATCAGAAAAGAAACAAAGGGCAAAGAAAAGATGAGCAGAACTCAGTAAGTTTCAGGATTAGAGGAAATAGCCGAATCCTAGAGATGAAATAATACTCGCCAAACAGTTTGCACATCATTTACGACTTCTTACTATACTACATTAAAAGTCACTGAGCATAGGTGTCTAGAAGTGAGTTGGGAGCTACTAGGCAAATGATTGCTTTATGTGACTCTCTGGTATTACATTGGAGCCATTCCTTTATCTGAAGAGTTGGTTCAGCCCTTCCTTCCCCAACACACAATTGGGAATGTTGTGGCTCACATGTCACTAATTCTGCTCCTTGTCTTTTTGTTCATTTGAGTTCTGCTCTAACCTCCCCTTCCTATGTCTATGCTTCATTAATGGTTCATTTTTCACTTAGTAGGGCTGTACATATATGCAATGTTTATGCCTCTACAGATTCTTTTATATTGCAGTTACCAGCCAAACCAGTAGTTGATGACAGCAACTTTATCAACCTCATTTTTCTTAACTAAAAAACAGACCTTTTAAAAGAGAGAAAGAGTAAAATTTTCTCCAGTTTTGAAATTTCAAGAATTCAAGTTCCCCTACCAAAAAGCACCTTTCAAAAGCTCATGGAAAGTATGATGAACACTATCACTTCAGGGAGCCCTAAATCTGTCCAGTGACCATGGCCATGGGGATTTTTAAATTGAAGCCAAGTAAGCTTCTCAAGCATACTTAAATTAATTAAGAAAATAGACTTAAATGCATAATTACATGACTGCATGCATCAGGCTCCTGATACCTTGCACCATGCTGAGGCCAAGGCTGGATAAGCCATTGAAGGGAAGTAATTGAAGCAGTCACCTTTGTCTTCATGATCCACACAGGCCTCTAGGTTTCTGTCACCTACAGAGCCATCTAATTTGAACCTCAGCTGGCCAAAATATGTGTCAACATATTCCTAGAGATAATGAAAGGCATTTATATCCATAGGTGTCTTGGGATTTATTTCTTCGTTTATGTTTTGGGTATATCCTTTTTTTTTAATCACAGTTTTATATTTTATAATCAAAACAGAAGACTCTGCTATTCTTTTATAGCTGAAAGAAATTGAAAGATGAAATTATTATATCAAGATAAGCATTATAAGGTAATATACTCTATCTCAATGCAGTAGTTCATAATTTTTCAGATAAATTCTGAATTACTTAAATAGTTGGAGACATCAGCAGTCATGGACACTACATATCACATTCAGTTGTATGTACATGAAAAACATGAAATAATTTGTAATCCTCTTACATTAGAGCAGTAAAAAAAAATCAATTTTATGTTTTTACTAGCACATTATGATGGTATCCATCTCTAGAGTAAATACCAAAACCACTTGCCATACTACAGAAAGAAGTAGTAAATGATGTATAAGTTGTTTGGGGGGGGTATTATAGATCTGCAAAAAAATGTATTTCTCTTTTCATTATAACTGTTGTCATCCAATATGTGGAAATGTGTGGCTGTTAACATCTTATATTTGAGCTAACTGGACATGTTATTATTATCAAAATACTGTGTTTTCAGCACAGCAAGGATAGCCGCCTACCTACTTTGTGATGCTTCAAGGAGTCCATCATTATAACTAGTATTATTCATGATCTGTGTGGTTGATATGGCCTTATTCAGTTTCTCATTTTGTGGAAAGTAAAATCATGCTGCTATTGCGATACCCAGCTGCAGAGAATCAGGAAAAAGGAAATGAGTTTATACTACAGGGTGAAAGACTTAGGACAGATATAACAATGATTTCCTGGCTGGCAGAGTTGATAAATGTATGAAATGAATTAAAGAAAGACACTGTGAACTTTATTCTCCCGAGGTCAGTATGACCCAATTACACATTGCTGCTGTTTTTTTTTTTTTTATATTTGGTGGGTATAATATTTGTGATTCAGTATAAATGGACTATTCCAGCAGATCTGCCAAATCCAGGCACTTTGCTAAGGCAATATTCTTTTCTTGGTTCAAGGTTCATTTTAAGTAAATTAGTTCTATGTTTGAAAATTGAAAATTAACATAATAATAAAGTAATACTGTTAATCACAAGAGTACCAAGTAAAAATTGGTGACATCCAACTGCAACTTAATTCAATTATGTATGTTAACTAGCCCGCAAAAGAAAGAATGGAAACATAAGTGTCATTTATTAAGCAAAGAGGAAAGGAAAGTTATGGGTATTGTGAAGAATACCCAGATGTGGATAATAAATGAAACAATTAATTTAACAAATTGGAAAAAAAATTTAGAGCCTTGTATGATCAGTGGGATGAATGTTGGCTGAAAGGACAAGCCACAAGAAGTAGAACTGAATGTCATAAGCTTTCAGGATTGAGCAAGAACCAGGAAGTTTTTAGTTCAACCACCCGTATATTGCTTGAGGCCACGCTGCAATATTCCCCCCATTAGTCACCCAGCATCTGCTTAGCCCCTTCGTTGGATGAGAAGCAAACCACCTGATTAAATCACCAGGTAGTTTTACTGGTACTAATACACTGATGTTTTGTTGTCTTCCTGTATATCACTCCAATCATAGGCTCCCAGTTCCATTCTTTCAATCTGACATGAATTTATGAGTTAAATTATCAAGACCACAATGTGTCCTAATGTGTGTGTGTGCGTGCACACACACACACGCACATGCATACATATATAGGTATGCATACACTTTTACAACATACACTTACATATACATATATACACGTCAAGGTTCTATATATGTAATGTTAACTTTAAAATTAAAATGGTTATTTTACCAGCATTAACAGGTTTATTCAGGAATAGCAGAGAATTACAATCTGGGACATGCAAGCTACAGCATAACCATAGGCAAGTCATGAGAATGAAGGAAAGAAACACTCTTTTGTACAGGAAGAGGCAGAGTTAGGAGGCTGGTCAAGCAAAAAGTCCACGGGAGTAAACTGGGAGTCCCACGTGCCATGGCTTCTCACTGGCTGCGTTGTGACAGTCTCTCAGTGGCTGGGCTGTAGTGGGGGGCAGAAGGAAGGTGAAGCCTTCTTCCTGCTGGATTGATGGATGGCAAAACAGCTCAAACAGTTAAGACAACCATCCCTTCCAACAAGATCTGAGGTTTATGAGGACTGTTTTCCATGCAGACCTCCTGATGTCAAGTCAGTGAAGTTTCCCTTAATTAATTTTCATAATAGTTATGTACCATTGGTCATATTTTCTTTTAATGTCTAAAAATCAAAATATGTAAGGGATTCTTATACAGTTACTTTGGTTTCTTCAGTTGTCAGTTGCATTTCTTCATTTCACTTATCATCTATGATGCATAGTTACATTTATATGTTTACAAGACTGTTCACCCTTTTAAGATAGCAGTCTGCTTATAGCTATCTCCTGAAGATTCTCCTTATTTATTGGTTTGTTTGTTTATTTAGGTGTCCCTTTCTGACAGATACATCCCTAATATATTTTTATTCATATATCTTATCTCTGTGATAGGACTCACTCTGTTATATTAGATGTATATTTATGGTTCATCTAAATATATATTCTTCTCCACAATTTTCCCCCAGTCCCATTAATGTGCAGATTCCTCAAGGAGCATAAAGTGGTCTTATCATCTTATTCATCTTAGTGTTTTGACCAAGCATATAGTAGGTGTTGCATTATTTTTGGTGGACTACATATAATTTTTAAAGGTCTGAGTTCACTTTCAGTAGAGAGTCTAAAACTTAATGTCTTAATTTTTGCACTCATTTTCACT